TGTTAGTAAAACAAAACAGAAGACACAGTTTGAGGATTACATACAAACGAAAAGAAAGAATATTGGACTATAAAGAAGGTAAGTCTTAAACTGGATCTTGAATTAAGACAAGAGAAATGGGAAAAGATAATCTTTTCAGCAACCTTCTGATTAGCAGCACATGTTGGTTATGACATCCAGACTTCAGAAACTGACCCATCCCACAACTAGCGCCAATCAGCAAAACTTAAGCAAAGATGCTCTCTCACTAAAGTGATTGTGTTACTTACCAGGTAATCACTAATCTCTCATTAGTGGAGTCTCAGTAGTACTCCAGTAAAGTGTTCTGATCCAAAACGATATGAAAACTGAAGAACAGAACTGAAAAATGGAAGGGCCCTCTACACTACAATTAGGGAGAGAACAGAATCAGAATTCACTATACAGAATGTAGGCTTCAGGGCAGCTCCGGTGGCTCAGCGGTTTAGTGCCGCCTTCAGCCCATGGTGTGATCCTGGAGACCCGGGATCGAGTCCCACGTCAGGCTCCCTGCATGGAGCCTGCTTCTCCCTCTGCCTGTGTCTCTGCCTCTCTCTCTCCCTCTGTTTCTCATGAATAAATAAATAAAATCTTTTAAAAAAAAAGAATGTAGGCTTCATTTAGAAGTTTGCTAATGACTAGTTGAAGATCATAAAATTAACTTGCATTCTCTTATGCCATATTCATTAGAGAATATGTTTAATATACCACCATGGTATATTAAATCCATAAAGAAGTAAGCCTTTCTTTGAGCACTCCAGAGAGCCAACCATTATTATGTTGACTTAGCTGCCGGCTAAGAGAATAGGGAGGGCTGGTATTCTCAGTGAGAGTAGCCTAGAAATTGAGAAAACAGAAAGTCGCAGGCAATATCCTTCTGTCAAACCATTCACATTTGGAATCCACAGGCAAGGCAATAGATATATTTTTTTTACCTTACCCAAACTGGTTATAGTAGCAGCTTAGACTGAAGAATAACTAACTGCACACTGCTCTCTTTTCAGCTTCCAGTAGTAAATACACTCAGGATAAAACACACACACACACAACAGGGAGCCTGGGTGGCTCAGTCAGTTAAGCAACTGCCTTCAGCTCAAGTCATGATCAGGTCCTAGGATCAGGCCCCACATCAGGCTCCCTGCTTGGCAGGAAGTCTGCTTCTCCCTCTGCTCCTCCTCCCACTTGTGCTCACCTGCTGTCTCTCAAATAAAATAAAATCTTTTTAAAAACAACAACAAAACTGGGCAGCCCGGGTGGCTCAGCGGTTTAGCGCTGCTTTCAGCCCAGGGCCTGATCCTGGAGACCAGGAATCAAGTCCCACATCAGGACTGCATCAGTCCCACATGCAGGCTCCTGCATGGAGCCTGCTTCTCCTTCTGCCTGTGTCTTTGCCTCTCTGTGTGTCTCTCATGAATAAATACATAACATCTTTAAAAAAAAGAAAGAAGGGATCCCTGGGTGGCGCAGCGGTTTGGCGCCTGCCTTTGGCCCAGGGCGCGATCCTGGAGACCCCGGATCGAATCCCACGTCGGGCTCCCGGTGCATGGAGCCTGCTTCTCCCTCTGCCTGTGTCTCTGCCTCTCTCTCTGTGTGTTACTATCATAAATAAACATTAAAAAGTAATAATAATAAAAATAAAAATAAAAAAAGAAAGAAAAACAACAACAAAGCAGAATAAAATAGCTTTTCCTCCTCTCCAAACCCATTCCTTTCACTATTTTCATCAGTAACTATTCTGATAATGAACCAAGGTTAGTGAATAGCAAAGTCACATATGACGTCATACTCTGAATGAGCATTAGGCATTTATTTGCATTGGCAATTCCCCACCTAGAATACTTTTCTCCAGGAATCTGCACGGTTAACTTCTTTGTCCTTCAATACTACCTTCTTGATGTAACCTATCTACAAGATCCCCCTAAACTTCGCTATTCTTTTCATAGCACTAATCATCTAAGATACTATAAAACTTGTATTTGATGCGTATTATTGGTCCCGCACTAAGTATATGAACTATATGAAAACAGGGATCTCTATGTTCTTCATTGATTAATAAGCACCTAGGACAATTTGCACAACTTGAACACTCCGTGCTCAAAGTTCATAGAGTCAGTTTATTAATGCTGGTAATATGTTCCTTTAGATAAATGACTGCCACCTCTCTACTTCTATCCTGACTGTTCAAGAGGACAGCTCAGAGACATCTGCAACTCAACATGCCAAAAGTTCTTCATATTTCTCAGAAGCCTGTTTCATCTCCTGTCTTCCCCACTTTAGTCAATGACACCACCAGGTACCCAACAGCCCAAATCAGAAGCCTGAATCATACAAAGACTCAAAACTTTTCCTATCTATTTATTAAATCCAGTTATTTCTATCACCTCACTATGTAAATATCAGATGCTCCTCGTCTAGCTATTGGACTCCTCAGTAGTAAAACACCTGGTCTCCCTGCTTCTCACCCTACAAATTGTAGCCAGAATGTTCACTCTGATAAGACACCTGATTTAAAAATCTCAGTGGTTCCTCAAATACTGAAGAATGAAGATTCATCCTTAACCTTATAAAGGCTTATGACCTTGCTTTTGCCTTTCCAGCTTCACCCACACCATTTCCCCAACAGTGTAGCATACTTTTCCTCTGACTACTATATCTTCTTATCTGCCTTTCACCCTCTACTCTTCCTTCAGGATCCAACTTAAATATCAGCTTTTCTTATATTCTCTACAAAGAACAAAGTTGTTCTTTCTCTGGGTTTCTTAAAGCACCCTGCTACAATAGTACTATATAAATAACATCACATGCAATTTACTTTTTTTCTACTCCTCCCAAACTAAACACCACCACAAAGGCAATGACTGTGTACCTCTCTTACTCCCATTGCTTAACAAGTTAAAGGTGCTTATTAAATATTGGCCAAATAGACCTATTCATATGACCACCACATGAGCCATTCTGGGGAACCTAAATATTGATTTGTACCTTTTAATTATAGGTCTCCCCTCACTACCTGAAAATTCACCTTATGCTACTTCACTTTTATGAAAGAACTATTTCAGTACCTGTTTTCACCAACCAAAAGAAATCCAAAGATTTTTGCTTTTACAGAGTGTTAATTGACTCTTTCGTTAATGCCATTCAGCTTATGAAAGCTTATGGAGAGTTGGGCCAATCTGTATTCAAAAAACTTGTAATAAGCACTACTAACTTATAGCTCCTGTGGCTCCTAGATGGCTCACTCTGTGGAGCATGGGATTCTTGATCTCAGGGTTATGAGTCTGAGCCCCACATTGCATGCAGAGATTACTTTAAAAAAAGTAAAATTAAAAAAAAAAAAAAAGATTATGGCTCCTACCACATTTCTCATGACATTAATGCCACTTCATTTTTGAGAAGGTTATCAATGAGAATCCTTTAGCTCTATCCCCTAAAGCAGTGTTTCGGTTGCACTTTAGAATCATCTGAAGAGCTTTAAAAATACAAATGCTTGGGCCTCATTCTCTAAAGCCCCTGTATAATTGGCCTGGGGTGGAATGCTTTTTTAAAAATCTTAAACTTGGGCACCTGGGTAGCTCAGTCAGTTAAGTGTCTGCCTTCAGCTCAAATCATGATCCCAGGTCCTGGGATGGAGCCCCAAGGCGGGTTCCCTGTTCAGCCTGCTTTTCCCTCTGTCCCTTCCCCTGCTCATGCTCTCTCATTCTCTCTTTCTCAAAATCTTTTTTTTTTTTTTAAATCTTAAACTGGGACGCCTGGGTGGCTCAGCGGTTTAGCGCCTGCCTTCGGCCCAGGGTGTGATCCTGGGGTCCCGGGATCGAGTCCCACATCAGGCTCCCTGCATGGAGCCTGCTTCTCCCTCTGCCTGTGTCTCTGCCTCTCTCTCTCTGTGTGTGTCTCTCATGAATAAATAAAATATTTTTTAAAAAAATCTTAAACTCAAATAAATAAATAAATCTTAAACTCATCTCCTTGTGCTCAGTATGAGATCCACTGACCTTAAAGCAAGGTAAACATATTACAGACATCCTAAATTGAAGCAAGAAGCTTTTAAGGACTGACTTCAACCTAGAAACTAGATAATAGTATTCTTTATTGGAATATGTTTAAAATTCCAGACAACTAAATTAAAAATGAAGTCTAGAACTCCTGAAGATCTATGAAAAAACTGATGCCAATTAAAATGGTCAAAATAAAGCAAAATATCTATTAAAATTAATCACCATTCCATGCTCAGTGAGATAAATGTAGGATATGGTAGTTAAGAAAGCCAAGAAAATTTAAATAGAGACTTGAGAAATTATTTAAATGTGGATGAATGATAGTGGAATCCAAAGAAAGGTAAAAGAATTATGGAAGATGTGCCTGAGAAAGATGGAACTGATCAGAAGAGTTGCATTGCAGAGGAATGGAAAGTTAGCCTGCACAGGAATTCAACAAGTTTTCATTTCCTCCCCTTTGGTAGATATTGTCTCTCTTATTCCAGATAAAGCACAGAGGCTCTGAAAAACTCAGAGCCAAAGCCTGAAACCATTCAGGTTCTGCATGACTTTAAATCCTAAGCCGTTTCCATCATATCACATTGCTTCACAAACTTAACAGGCAAATATAGAACACATTTAAAGGCATTAAATGCTAACAACAACAACAAAAAGGCAAGCAACTAGAGGAGAAGCTCACTGCAGACTTTTAAGTCTAGAAATAAGGTGTGGGGGGAAAAGGTCACTCCAGATTTACCTGGCAGATACAAAATGGATTAAAGGAGAAAGACGCTTAAGGGAAAGGAGACAACTGATTGCTTCATAATCACTAACTTACAGTACTATATTCTCTACTAGTTTCATAAATGACTTTTCAGTGCTTTAACAATACCTCTAATATAAGCCCCACTGTACTGTATTAAAAATACTTAGGGGATTCTTGATTGTTCAATGGAAGTGATCAATTAACTGAAATCATAAAAGTAGACAAAAATACCAGATATTCACCTATATATATGTTTACAAATCGAAACCTTACTTCACATCTGGATAAAGGTCACAATCTTAACTGCTCAGCCTTCCAGTCTCAGCTCTCCTCTCCATTCCACCTTTAAAAAAAGGATACTCAGTTAACTTTGCTAATACATCATCCATATCTGAGGTTTCCCTGATCAAGAATCCAAATTGTTTCACACCAATGAACTGTAACAAATCCAAACTCCTCTGCCCTCTGTACAACCTATTCTATCCTCTCACCCAAACTCCTATTCTCTCCAGAAAGATCATGCGTGTGGACCTCCTCACCGTGCCACAAAGTAACACACACCACTCTAAAGTTGTTTGATGCATCTCCAAAACTAGAGGACCTCTTTTTATTCGCTCTTCCAACTTCAAACCATCCATGAAGACCAAGCTCAAAATCCAGTATTCTCAACAAAGCCCAATTCTAAGCCTTGCCACACTAAAACAGATTCCAAACCTCTGACACGTGGCCCAGGGTTCTTTAGATTTTTGTTTGTTTTGTTTGGGGTAATAAGATGTTATTCTACTGACAACACTTAAAAACTGCGAGATAGCACTTTCCAAAACAGTATTTCCAACTGTTATTGAAAAAAAAAACTACCTGCTCCGGCAAGACTGGAATCATACTCTCACACAGCCACAATCAGCAGAAGCTAAGCAGCAGCTGACCACCTTCCAAAGGTTCCTACATTTTAAGGTCAGATGATGTCAACTGCCCAGCTTGGTCGGAGACTGTACCTGCAGCGGTTGCAACCAAAAAAATACCTGACTGCCTACTGGTCACTGGAATTACAAAAATAAACAAGACAAATCATAGCCTGTGCGCCCAGTCCCCCCACCCAGCCTCGCTTAGTGCAAAAGGCAAAGACCAGCAATCAATTAGCATACTGCGTGGTAAGTGCTAAGAGGAGGAAAATAGAGGGCACTCAGAACATACATAGCAAGGGTTACCTAACTCACTCTGGGGGAATTTACAAAGTGCCCCTCGCAGAAAGTTAGAGGGAAAGTGGGACCCTTAATAGGGGTGGGAATGATCCACATAGAGGGAGAAGAAAGGTCAGAGCAATCCAATGCCAGAAAGAGAGAAAAGAACCACCACAAAGATCCTGGGAGAGGAAAAATATTCTTGAAGAAGTGAAATCAGTTCAATACAGGTAGAGCCATCGCTTAGCCTGAAGTGCAGGTGTCCGAGAAAAGCGTCAGGGGGAAGGGCAAGAGGCAAAAGCCAAGTGTTAGTTATGGTCAGGAGATGAAAGAATTTCCATTACAGCGGTAGCCTATGTCAGAGTTTGTTAAGCAGGGGATTGGAGACTTCAGAGACTCAGCTGTTGCGCTGAGGGGTGAAACGTGTAAGAAAAGGAGGGAGAGGGCCGCCTGGGTGGCTCGGCGGTTTAGCATCACCTTCAGCTCAGGGCGTGATCCTGGAGACCGGGGATCGAATCCCACATCGGGCTTCATGCAAGGAACCTGCGTCTCCGTGTGTGTGTGTGTGTGATGAATGAGTAAATAAAATCTTTAAATTAAAAAAAAAAAAAAAAAAAGGAGGGAGAAGCGGTGATAGCCTAAATCAAAGGAGAGGGACTATGAAGCAGCCAGGGGGATGAGGGTTTAGCACAGAAGACCAAAGGGGCTTACATCTTGGGCGGTAATAACCCCAAATTAACGAGGAGGTGAAGCGTGGTAGTTTTGGGGGCGGGCCTCTAGGTTCCCCGGTGCATGTGGGGGCACTCGGGCCTCTCAAAGCTCAGCCGCGTCCTGGCTGCGCTTCCTTCTCTCTAGAAGACGTCGGCTTCCACCTGCAGCGCTCGTGCAGGCTGCGGGAGGGGCTCCGGCTCCCAGGCTCCCAGGCTCGGATGAGAGGCCTGCTCCGTGGGTTGTGCTGGTGGGCCCGCGCGTATAAACCACCTCGGCACGAGTCTCTCATTTTTCTGTGGGAATCACTGGGCCCGTTTACCTCCTCTTAAGAGGGAAAAAAAAAAAAAAAAGCAGAGTGTGCCCATTACAGGTTTACAGGACGGGAAGAGGGGCCGAACTGCTGCTCCGACATCTGTCCGCACCAAGTCAAGAGGGGTCCTTCTGGGAATCCAAGGTGACCTGGTCTCCCCCGACTAGACTGAGATATCCGCCCGATAAAAGAAAAAAGGGAAAGAAAGAAAAAGAAAAAACCTGCTTCACACTTTTTTTTTTTTTTTTGGTAGCGCTCCAAGTGCCTACTGCTGAACTTGGTACATCGGACCCATGCTTGCAATGTACTGACTTCCTAAGTGATCTGGGGCCTCTGAAGTTAACCCCAGTTCGGTCTTCCTTCTGCAAAAGGCGCCACAGAGAAGCAAACCCGCGCGTCTCAGACTCAACAGTTTCCTTTATTCCAAAACTCCGCGGCGTCCCTACAGCCTGCGCCGCAAGAGCAGGAGGACTGCACGATTCGAACGCAAAGGGAGACCCCGGGTCCCGCCACGGAAAACGCCCCCCGCCCGCCCGCCCGCCCGCTCCCCTCGGGCGCAGCAGCCCGCGCGCGGCCGGCCCCGTGCACCTGGAGGAAAGGTAAACCGCGCTCACCGACTCCGGGCCGCCGGGAGACCCCGCGAGTGCGCTCGTCCGCTCGCCGCCTCGCTCCCGAGCGGGCACTTCCGGCGCGCGCTGATGACGTCAGCAGAGGCGCCCGCCCTCGGCCCGCCTCCGCCGCCGGAGTCGAGCAGCCGCCGGGAAGAGGCGTTGCCGTCGCTGCCTTCTAGTCCCCCCGCGGCTGACCCCTCCCAGGACCCGTGATGCCGAGGCCCCGGCGGGGGACGAGGAAGAGTCCGGGTTGAGCCCCAGCTGAGGTCGAGGGCTCGCGCTCTAGTCTCCCGGGCCCGCCCCACCTAAAGGTAAACGCCTCCTCAGCTGCGGCCTTCCTCTCAGACCCCCTGAGAGGCCGCGAAAACGGTTTGCCCCCCGCCCCTGCCCCCGCCCCCGCCCCCCTTTCTGTTCCGGGCCGTGTCACGCTGCCCGCCCTCGCGGTTCTCGCCCGCACGGGGCTAACGCAGAGTCCCAAATGGGAGACCTTTAAGGCGCTGAGGTCCTCAAGTTCTGTGAAAAATTCCCGTGAAACATCCCAAGCTGTTTCCCGGTTACTCCGCGGATCGGCACGTCTTTCAGTCAAGACCTTGCCATTCGTGATGGCCCATACCCCCCGCCTCAAATACACACCACACAAGCTTTTTTGTTTGTTTGTTTGTTTATTTATTTTCAAGATTTTATTCGTGAGAGACACACACAGAGAGAAGCAGAGACACACACAGGCAGAGGGAGAAGCAGGCTCCACGCAGGGAGCCCGACGCGGGACTCGATCCCAGGTCCCCAGGGTCACGCCCTGGGCTGAATGAAGGCGGCGCTAAACCGCTGCGCCACTCAGGGATTCCCACACACACACACAAGCTTTTTAAATGGAAATGTGAACCTTGTCGAGTACGCTAGAACCTTCACGGATAACCTGCCTTGTAAAAACACGCTGTAAAAATTAATTATAAACTATACGTTTGTGAACCGAAAAGGCACACACAGGTCAGTATCTTTCAAGGCATGGAAGGAATCCTATTCATGTAGTAGAATGTCTCTTGGTTATTTACCAATAATATGCAAAATCGGTGATTTGAAAGAACTTTGCATCACTTAAAAAAAAAAAGTGAGGCTAGAACTTTCTCTTAACACTACTGCAAAGAAAAAAATATTAAAACAACCCCAAAAGTACCCCAAACCAAAGCATGAGTGAAAGTGAGCGGTTAAGGTTCTTTCTGAGCTAGCAGGCTCTCCCTAATGTGGTAGGCAAGGTATGAAAAGTTTTCAAAAGGACTTTTTTGCTCCCAGCCTGAGGGAAAGTTAAGCAAGGCCTCAGAATTTTTTATTCATCTGTTTAAAACTAATTCTAAAAAATAAAAAATAAAATAAGTAAAACTAATTGTGCCTTCACACCGTCATCCAGCACTGTAATGGTTAAGGACAACTTGAAAGAAGGACCAGAAAGCTCTTTTTTAAAGTGATATCTGGGGGAAAGAAATTTCTTAATTCACCCGGCTGGAGTAATTGTTTTTAATCCTAAAATGTGAGGACTTTGGTGTATTAAATCTGGCATATTTAAGTTAAGGATTGTCTACATTGGTTTTGCTTGGAATGAAATATATCTCGTTTAAATTGCTTCTGGGTTTGTTTTCCTTTTTAGAAATGAGTGGTGGATTGGCCCCAAGTAAAAGCACAGTGTATGTATCCAACTTGCCCTTTTCCCTGACCAACAATGACTTATACCGGGTAAGTAGCTTTTAGTACAGTTGTCTACTGAATTCTCTATTTGAGGTACAGATGTATCTTAAGCAAACAGTTCTCTGGCAAAATTCTTAACTGAGCCATCGATAGCAAAAACCTCCATTGTGAGTAGCCTGGGTGGCTCAGCGGTTTAGCGCCGCCTTCGGCCCAGGGAATGATCTTGGAGATCTGGGATCAAGTCCCACAGTCCAGCTCCCTGCATGGAGCCTGCTTCTCCCTCCTCCTGTATCTCTGCCTCTCTCTCTCTGTTTCTCATGAATAAATAAATAAAATCTTTAAAAAAAACAACAACAACAACAAACCTCTATTGCAAACATAAGTTAAAAAAGAAAAAGACAGTTTTGTAATATCCAAAAAGAGTTTACAGTGCTTTCATAGAAAATAACAAATTCTTTATAAAAACAGAAGACACAGCTAGCATAATGAAGTCATACGAAGAAAAACTTGTGATGGGCTGATTTTTCCTGCTTGCTTGATTTTTTTTTTAAACTGGTAGGGTAGGGGTTTTCGAGGAAAGGGCTGATAAAAGCAAACAAATCCCTTTACTAAGTAACCCTCAAATTCTGAAAGAATATTTTAATTTATACATATGGCAGAAACTTAACGTTTAATGTTTTCAATTCAGGATAGGGATAAGGGGGAGGGGGGCAATCCAACATCTTTCACCCTTTTACCTTACAGAGAACAAAATTCCCTGCTGTCCCTGTCCTGCAGATGAGTGGTTGAAAGGAACTGGAAGGAATGACATGAATCCTTCCTTCCAAGTGTGCCCCCTTCTCTCTGCTTCTTTGGGTAGATGTCAAATTCAGAGATGCTGCATAGGTGACACATAGTATTTGATTAATTACTTAATTGAGATAGCCTGAGTCTCACAGAAGAACCAGAGAAAATGAACTTTAGCTTCTTTCTTCGTATCAAAATAGAGATGTCTGTATTTATTGAACACTTAGCATACGCTGAGCACTCTTAGAGGTACTAGGAACACATCAGTGAACAAAAAGATGAAAATCCATCTTGGCATTCATCACATAGCAAGATAAAACAATGTGAAATATAAAAAAGTCAGCTTTTTTGAATATTAACGCTAAGATGCTATGCTAAGGAGAAAAAAATAAAGGAGGTTATTAAGTGTCAGGTTGGGAATGGAGGTAAAATTTTACATGAGCTGTCTAAAGCCCTTATTGAGAAGGCAACTTTTGAATAAAGACCTAAAGGAAGTAAGAGATAGCTCTGTAGATGTCTGGGGGAAAAGCATGTCAGACACAGAGTAAATCAAGTGGAGAGAAGAGGAAGGGCAGTCAGAGGGAGGCAGGCCTACACACAGGTGCCTTGTGGGGCCTACAAAGATAGATAGTAAAGAATCTGAATGAGAAGCCATTAGAAGGTGTTACGCAAAAGACTCTTGGGGTTCAAGATTCAGTGTTGCTAACATTGCTGTCGAGTTATACTACATTCCAGCATTACACTACCTAATCATAAAACTCAATTTTTTATTATGTATATTAATATTTCTGAATGACCTTCCTAAGACATAAACAATTAGCATATAGGTAGTGGCTGGAAACAGAAATAGATGAGATTACTTAGGTTGAAGATTTAGAAGTAAAAGGGAAGATAGGGCCAGCTATAAAGAACCACCAATGTATTAAGGGTAGACAGAAGAAGGGAGACTGATGGGAATGGATTTTATTACAGAAGCTTTTTTTATGTTTTGTTTTATAAGTGGTCTAAGGATCTGTCTTCTGAAACAGTGATCACTTGATGGAGTTGGCTAGGAATAATGACATTCCACAATACTGATACTTGAAGCATGTGGTTTCTCTGGGGCCGTGGTGGGGTTAATAATTGCCACGGATATACCACAGGAACAGCAACTATACAGTGTATATGCCTTCAATCTACCACACTTAAGGAGTGGGATTTTTTCCCTCTGTTTACATTCTTTTGTTAGAAATTTAGAAATTGGGGCAGATACCTATGACTCCAATAGCAAAGATATGAATATTCTAGTCACTAAAAATATATATAATCTTCTAGGGCCTGCTTTAAGGAATAAAGGCTAAAATTTTTCACAAGCTTTAACAAAGAATGTGGTCAGTTTATACAACCTGAAAATTTAATGTTTCTTAGGATTTAAAATTAAATTGTAAATTATTATGTGATCTTTTGTTTCAGATATTTTCCAAATATGGCAAAGTTGTAAAGTAAGTATTCACATCAAGTTTTGAAACCTCATTTAAAAGTTTATCTGAATTTACTTTTCCATTCTTTCAAAGATTTTATTATTTTTCAATAAAACAGATATTTGATATAACAAAGAAAAATACTACTGTTAACGTTTTTGTCGGTCATTTTTCTGAATATATAAACATGTATAGACAATTTTTTTTAAAGACTCAATTCTATACATGCAATTTTGTCTTTTTTTTAAACTGACATTATACCATAAACACCATGTACTTGAAAGATACATCCTCATATCTAATTTCATGATATGCCTTTATATACCATAATTTATTTAAATAAATTCTTACCATATTACTAAGAACTAAAACCGACTGCTATCCAATATAAAACATAAATTAAAGGTTCTGATTAGATACATACTTTGGTTATTAGAAGGTGTGTTATCAAGTATACCATAAGTGGATTACATTTGTCAGGTAAAGAGAATGTAAAAAAAAAAAAAAAAAAACAAATGTTATGATGCATATAACATGCAAAGTGCTTATGCAAAGTGCTGATAAATAGAAAACATTCTCTGCTTTCATAGAAGATTTAGAGATCATTGGAAAGACTGGAAACATACAGAAATGGTAGGGATGGTATCATTTGGGGCTGAGAGTTACGAAAGGATAAAAGGAACTTCTTATATTTAATTTGCTATTTTAAATCAATCATGGACCTATATTATGGGGCAAAGAAGTAAAAGCAAGGTATTATTGCCTTTCTAACTATCTTAAAACCAATATATATTCTGGTATAAGTTTGAAATTGTATTTATAATCCTAAGAATTTAGAGCATATTTATCTTGGCCAGTCAGGATTTTTTCTAGCTTTGGATAAATGGTAAGAAAATCACCAAAAATGCTTCTAGGTAAATTTTTGGGTCATCAGAATTTTGAACAGTCATTATTACCCATCAAAGCACTAATAATGATATGTAACAATAGGCACATAAATATGCTAGGTGTCATTCTAATCTTACATGTATTACTTCATTAACTTCTCACAACTACCTTTTAAGGTAAAATACTATTATTATCCTAATATTATAAATAGCAAAACTAAAGCACACAATAAACTTAAATATATTGCAGTTAGTGGTGACAAGATTTGAAATCCAACAGTTTGATTTCAGAGCCTGCTCCCATAATCATACCATTACCCTTTCTTGGTTTTTCTCATCTGTCAGAATCTCTGAATTAATTTCCATACAAACATATAAGTATAAATCACAAGAATGCTATAAAGTGAAAGACAAGATTGTGTCAGGTTTGATCTGGTTGATAGTGAAATGAAATAGGCCAAGGCAAAGGTGGGTTGAGGCAAGCTTTTTAATGGAAGTGCTCTCGGAGCCAGGTTGCAAGGCCCCCAAGGGAGTAAGACTGGGGAGGTCGTCGGTGGGGATAATACAGGAAGGTTTTTATAGGGAAGGATAGGGTGGCACCAGTATAGGGTGATAGCTGCTTATGTCTGTATATGGTATGGGGCTAGGTAAGGTTCGGTTTCTGTTTCCTGCATAGGCCCTGTTTTCCCATGATGATGTGTCCTTGGGTGGCCTCTGCTAGTGGCAGGAAAGTCCCGAGGCGAGGGTGACAAGATGGAGGGTCTGCCGCCATTTTGTTGGTGCCTCCCAATCTTTTTTGATCCCCCAGGCCAACAGTAAGCACCTTTAAACAGGGAAGACATGATCTAGTCTGGATAGTCAGAATAGGCTTACCTAAATCAGTATCCTCTGAATTGAAACCTAAAGGCTAAGTAAGAGTTAAGTAGGTAAAAACAATGGGAAGAACATTTTAGGTAGAGGGGATAGCTTGTGCAAAGTCCCTGGGGCAAGAGAAAATAAAGTGAAATCAAGAAACAGAAGTATAACTAGAGATGAATAAACAAGAGAAAGAAAGCACAAAATGGGTCTAGAAACAGAAGCGGTTTCCTAATCTTGCTGTTTGGCCATGTTACAAGATATTTGATTTTCATCCTAAGAATACCGGGAATTTACTGCTATAGAATTTTAAATGAGGGAAGAACATGACTTGAATTTTTAGAAGCTTTTTCTGGTTTCAATGTAGAGATTAGATTAGAGGCAAACAAGAGTAGATGCTGGCAGACCAGTCAAAAAGCTATCATCATAGCCTGGGGCGAAATGTACACTAAGAAGATGGTATAGGTAGAGAAGTAGACCCAGGACAGATTGGAGAGATGGTCAGATGACCAGTAGGCTTTAAAATGGGTAATACTTAATGATGTACTTTGTATGTAAGGGTTGTGTGAATGAGAAAGGGGTGTTCTGTATGACACTCAGGTTTCCCAGAATAGTGTCTGTTTCAGATTATGTCTTTAAATGAGTACATCCCCTACCAGAGACTTGGGAGTCATCCTAGATTTGTACTTACAAATCTCTGGTGTAATTATGTTTTCTGTTACCATAGAAGATGTTTCTATCAAAGTCGTGTATTGTCATTGGTTTATAGGTCTCTTTATCTCTACACTCTAAGCTTTTTTCTGCAGGTAAAAAAAAAAAAAAAAAAAAAAAGGTAAAAACTTTAATTATCAGTGCTTAGTGCCTGGGCTTGAGGCTAATGGAGTGACTGATTACATAAACAAACAAATAGATTCACTTTTTTGAAAAGCCAGTTTCCCATCTGTATCTGTCTCTTTATTTTAACATACTGAGCCAGGCATAATAGAGATTACAGAGGCAACCTTAAAGGAATTTATATTAAAATGGGTCAGATGAGGTATTATTTATACATAAACAGATTTCAGTAGAAACTAGCAGAAAAGAAGAGAAATTATTTCCAGTTGAAGATGTTAGAAAACTGACATGTTCTGAGCTCTGAAGAATGGGTAAAGTTTTGATGGGCAAAGATTAAGAATTGAAAGAAGATAGAGGGAGCACCTGGATGGCTCAGTTGGTAGAGCATGCAACTCTTGATCTCGGGGTCATGAGTTTGAGCCCCATATTGGCCATAGAGCCTACTTGAAAGAAGATAGAGGCCATGTGAATGGAGGCACCAATTTGGAGAAGTACAGACCATGCATCATGAACATTGAGTAGTTTGTTGTTGCTAGACCTCAGAGTTTGAGAGTGAGAAGTACTGAAAGATGAGGGAAGAGGGACCCAAGTCCTAAAGGATATTGGTTCAAGACCAAAGAATAGGCAAACTGAAGAACCAAAGATTTTTGAGCAGAAGAGTGACATGATTTTATTTACTCCATAAGTAGAGACTCTCTCAGTAGCATGAGAGCATTAACATCAGGGGAACAAGTAAGAATACACTGTTGGAACAACAGTGCCATTGTGGACAAGAAAAGCTGTGGTAATGAAAAAAAGATAAGAGACATCATTAATTGAGAATGAGTTTAGAAAGCTAACACTTCTGAAATAGTACTTTAGAAATAAAATGATTAATGACTTTTACTGACCTTCACAAATATCACGAAAATTCAAAAAGTTAAAGTAATGATTCACATTTCTTTGAAAATTGGTTGAAAACTTTCCTTCTTATCCTCAACTGTGCTGACTCTAAACAAGTTTGTCAAGTGCTTCCTTCTTGGAACTAAGCCCAATGAATAAACAGGTTCAGTCTTCTAAGAAACTAAACTATGTTGCCCATTTTCCCATAAATTATTTCAACTTATGTTTCCTTTTTGAATGAGAAAAGTTATCCCTTTTCTTAATATAGTAGCATCTTTTTACCAGTTTAATTACAGTGATTATTTAAGTACCTATACCTAACTCCAATTAAGATAAATTTTAATGTGAAATATGTTAAAATATCTGTTTACTTGTGTCCTCTTGTCTGTTTTCCTGTTAATTCAGGTTCTAGAAAATTATTATGCTTTGTCTTGAATGTTGTCTTTTTTTTTTTTTTTTTTACTATTTGAAAATAACTGCAAATTTAGAAAAAGTTGCAGAAATGGTAAAGAACATCAAAATATCCTTTACCCAGATTCACCTGTTGGTAACATTTTACCCCATTTACTTTATCATGTGCCCTCTCCTCATGCGTGTTTGTGTGTGTGTATACACGTGTATATGTATTTGTATACACACGTATGTGTGTGTGTGCACACACACACAGTTTGTTTTTGTGAATTATTTGAGGGTAAGTTACAAACATCATTGCCCTTCAATAGGCAATACTTTAGTATGTATTTCCTAAAAATAGGGTTGTGTATTACATAATCACGGTGGGGTTATCAAATTCATAAATTTATATTGATAAAATACTTTTATTGAATCAGTCATTCATGTTCCAGTTTTGTCAGCTGACCTAATAATGTCCCATATAGAATTTTTCCCCTCTAGTACAGTCTAGAGTTAGGTATTGATTTTAAATATCCTATCTTTTTAGCCCCCTTTAATCTGGAACCCTTATAAAGAATGTAGCTCTCCTTCCCCCCCCCCCATTTTGTGTTTTCTTAATATTGCCTCATGATTACATTGGGGTTTTATGTACTCTTGGCTGGTGACTGTATTTGGTGATGTTGTATTCTGAGGGTTTCACGTCTGGATTCATACAGTGTCCACGTTTCCTTCATTACCAGTCAACGTGTTGACCAATTTCTCTGCTATATACTTTTTCCCCTTTAAAAGTAATAAATGGTGAGAAACACTTTTAAGACAATGTAAATATCTTATTTCACATAAGAATTTCATTTTATACAAAAAAATTTTCATTTTATTTAAAAGATTTACTTATTTATTTTTAGAGTGAGAGCAGAGGGAGAAGGGAGCAGGGAAGAGGAAGAGAGAGAATCTTAAGCAGGCTCCACACCCAGTGCAGAGCCCAGTGCAGGGTCATCTGACAGCCCTGAGATCATGACCTGAGCCAAAATCAAGAGTCAGACACTTAACCAACTAAGTCACCCAGGCGCCCAAAGATTTCATTTTAGATGTAGTATTTGTCCATCAACAAATCATCTTCTTGCCTGATCCAGTTTTACTATGATTGTTTGCAAATGGTGATTTTCCAACTCTAGCACTTCCCTTGACATTCTTTTGTAAGCAAAAACGACCCCTTTACCCCATTTATTTATTAATAATAAGGACTTATAAATTCCTACTTTTTTCTGTGGTTTTAATACATTATTGTACTTAATTATTTTGGTTCTCAAATTGTCCTAGATTTGGCCAATGAGAACTTCTTTAAGCTGGCTTCTGTACTCCTGTGCCATACGCCATCATTTTTTTAAAGTACATTTTTTAAAGATGTTCCAAGTTAATCACGTACCTACCCTATCCCAGCCTTGGAATCAACCATTTCTCTGATGAGCCCTGTCAGACACTGATTTTTAAACTACATTTAATGACGTATGATGAGCAAGCGTCACAAGGAGAAGGGATGTATAAGGGGTGAAGAGAAAGAATAGTCTCTGTGCTATTATCATCATCCCTATCACTTAGGTACCTTGGATGATATGACTAAGAAACACAGAACTAGAGATTCTTATAGGCAATAAGGATTAAGGAGTGCACTTGCTGTGATGAACACCAGGTATTGTATGAAACTGCTGAATCACTATATTGTACACCTGAAACTAATACTACACTGTATGTTAACTAACTGGAATTTAAGTTAAAACTTTACAAAGAGAATATTAAGAATATATTTAGATTCTAAAGTCTAGAGAAAAAAGTAAATCATTTTACCTTTTGTGTAGAAAAGAATACCTCAGTTTTGTTTTTTTTCTGCAGAGTGAGGACATTAGTGGAAAAGAAGAATTATATTTACTCTTCAAGATTTTGTTGTCTTTGTAATCTCTTTACTTCATCCTTCAACCTCTGATTAATGTTTGATTTTTCACGTACTCCTATCATAGCTGTGCTCACTTTTGTTAAATTAGTATCACATTTTCTCATTTCCATTCTTCTTGATATCCCATGACTTTGAAGAAATAGTTGATTTGTCGACTGTATTGATTTCTCTTATTTCTCTTATTCTATAAATGTTTTGCTAACCTTTTTTGGGAACACTTGAATTTTCCAAGTATTTATTAACATCTGTTTTATTTATTCCTGCCTCATTTTTAACTGGCTATTTGTTTATGCTTTAAGGGTTACTATAATGAAAGATAAAGATACCAGGAAGAGTAAAGGGGTTGCATTTATTTTATTTTTGGATAAAGACTCTGCACTAAACTGTACCAGGGCAATAAACAACAAACAGGTAAGATATTCATTCCCAACAAGATTTTTAATCCAAAAGCCTTTGTGCTTATCCAGGCCAAAAATGTGGGGATGCAGTGGATTATCAAGTCGTGGATATCAGTAGACTTTGAGAGTACTTAACTTAAAAGAGATCAAAACTATATTGGTTCCCAAAACACTGACAGAACCTCAGGAATAAGAATCTATTCTACAGGGTGTGATTTGTCCTACCTGACTAGGCAATTGCTAAAGTAATCTAAAATAAAATGAAATTGAAAGTTTAAGGAAATGGAATCTAGTTAACTGTAGTTTTGTTTCAATGAAATACATCCTTCTGCATTTATACATTTTTCTCTGGTTTAGTTATTTGGTAGAGTGATAAAAGCAAGCATTGCTATTGACAATGGAAGAGCGGCTGAGTTTATCCGAAGACGAAACTACTTTGATAAATCTAAGTGTTATGAATGTGGGGTAAGTATACCTAAAACTTAATGTAATTTTCCATCGTTTATTTGGAAACTAAATAATTTTTCACATCAGCGTTTTATTTGTGCTCTCTAAAACTTCTGGCTGGCTAAAACCAGATTATAAAAGTTGCTTTACTTTGGGACTCTCAACTCCTCTAAGTAAACGCCATTGAAATGTAATATGTAAAGATAACCTGAGTTAGCTAATATAGAGTGGTGTTGTCTCCAGTTTCTAAATCTTTGAAAACGATTAACCTAAAAAGGACTAGACTAATTAATTATTATCTTGGAAGATTTAGTGACCCATAAATTTTCGGGTTAATGGGATATTGCTCATGCCTGTAACAGTCTGCCGATGTTTAAGCATCACAGTTCAACATAAACATCCTATGATCGATCTATCCTGCTTAGGATAATGTGTTTTAAAAGCTATCTTTTTTTCTGTTAATACTACTAATGTTTGTAACTGAACTATCCCCAAATTTTCTTAACCTGGTTCTTATACTTTATCATTACCAGTTTAAACTTTTGGTGATTAGGAAAAATATATAGCCACTGAACAGTTTTGCACAAGGCCCTTAATCATTATGGTATCAAAAGAACCATCAGTCTGAGACTCGCTTTTGTCAGTTTCCAGCATGCCTCTATAAAGTACTTAAAAAACAGGGTCAAAAGGTATTAAGGGGAGCTGGGGAGAGGATTCTAAGAGACATTTTACTGGCTACAAAATCAAATAGAAGATACAAAGAAATGGGGTCATTTCCTTCACTGCCACCCTCTACCTCTTACTCCCTGAAAAGATCTATATAAACAGACGGGTAGATGGATGGTGCATTCTGTCAATTCCTGTGATTCTAACACTCCTTAAGATAACAGTTTAGAAACTGTGTTCCAGAGTTCTAAGTTTTGTTTTAAAAAAAAAAAATAAAGGAGGGGATCCCTGGGTGGCTCAGCGGTTTAGCACCACCTTTGGCCCAGGGCGTGATCCTGGAGACCCGCAGTCGAGTCCCGCTTCGGGCTCCCTGCATGGAGCCTGCTTCTCCCTCTGCCTGTGTCTCTGCCTCTCTCTCTCTCTCTCTCTCTCTCTCTCTTCTCTGTCTCTCATGAATAAATAAAATATTTTTTTAAAAAAGGGGGGGAATGGAGGAGTAGTAATGGTCAGATAGATTAGTATGTATCCTCATATTCACAGTAAATAACATTATCTAAGAAATCTTGGATGTATCTATTAATCTGCAGTTTTAGTTTATGGATCCATAAATTTGTTTTACTTTATACATTTTTATATGTTTAAATTCCTACCATCCCCAAAATATGTTTGCATTTATTTAGCCTGGTTTTCCCTTAAGTTACTTCATTGTAAAACTATTTTTATATATGAAATATGTTGACATTATTCCAAAAGCAGTTTGGAAAATGCTGTGTAAGTGCATTCGCTTAGCAGTTCATTAACATTAACATCTCTTAGGTTCAACCATGTCCCCAGTATCACAGTCTGATACTTTCTAAAATATACTTGAAAAGCGTGATTATTTTTCTCTACTATTGTCTAATCCTAGTTCAGTCTCTCCCCACACCCTTACTCTTACATATTATTCTTCAATGTATTTAATGAGCTAATGTTCAGATTATAGTTCATTGTCTCATCTTTTACAACTGAACCGTGTTATGGCTCATTATAATTTATGACTAGTCCAGCCATAAATATAATTCTAATTAGTCTAGTAGCCAAATTAAAAAAAAAAGAAATGGGCAAAAATTAATAATATCTTTTGTTATCATAACCCAGTATATATCCAAAGTATTATAATTTGAACATGTAATTAATATTTTCAAAAATTAAGGTATTTTACATTTTTTTTCTTCTTGTCTTCAAAATCCAGGATGTATTTCACCCTTACAGTGCATATCAATTCAGACAATTTCTCAGTAGTCACAAGAGAATTACAGTTAGTGGCTACCATAAATGGACAGTGCAGGTATAATCTAGATATGAAAGGAAGAAAATGAAATTAATAGGAAAAGTGAGGAAGACTCTAAATTTTACTTTTTTAAAAAAGATCTATTTATTTGAGAGAGAAAAGGGGGGTAGGAAGGAAGGGAGAGTGTGTCTTAAGCAGACTCTGTGCTGAGCATGGAGCCCAACATGGGGCTTGATCTTACGACCCTGAGATATAACCTGAGCCAAAACCAAGAGTTAGTTGCTTAACCAACTGTGCCACCCAAGCACCTTCCTTTTTTTCTTAAAAAAAAAAAAATGTATTTGAGAGGGAGAGAGTCCATTTGTTTTTAAAATGATGTTAAGCAACATCATAGGGCAGCCTGGGTGGCTCAGCGGGTTAGCGCCACCTCTGATCCTGGAGTCCCCAAATCAAGTCCCGTGTTGGGCTCCCTGCATGGAGCCTGCTTTTTCCCTCTGCCTGTGTCTCTCATAAATAAACAAATAAAATCTTTAAAAATAAATAAATAGTAACATCTTAAAAGTTAACAGGAAAGTTTTGTCCCTATCTTGTCAAATAATAACTTAAAATGTTTACGTTTAACATGGGTGGTCCATTTAAATTTAGAATTGTTTTATACTGGAATCTTGAGATTTAAAATGTTTGAAGGCACTGGGTGTTACACTATATGTTGGCAAATCGAACTTCAATAAAAAATATATATATATAAAAATACATAAAATGTTTGAAGGAAGAATACTTTTGTTCTTAGTGAAACTACAGAAATTTTCCCTATTGTTAAGGTAGCTTATTGGGGGTTATAATATCATAATCTCTTTCTTTTAAATATCAAAGTAATAGGTTTTGTTAATTTTTTCTTCATGTATATTCCCACTGTGACAGTATTCTTTTTTTTAAGTTCTAAAACCTTCAGCCTTAGGGTACCAGGCAAGTCTCTGTTAATAACACAACAAACACAGCTTTTTTCCTTTCCTTTTTTAACATGAAACCAAAGGAAAGTGGACACTTAAGTTATGCCTGTCCTAAAAATATGCTTGGAGAACGAGAACCTCCAAAGAAAAAAGAGAAAAAGAAAAAAAAGAAAATTCCTGAGCCAGAAGAAGAAATGTATGTATATCTACTCTTAGTAAATAGATTATTGTATTGTTTGTGCCTTTTCCCTATTGCTCAAGTACATTCTGATTTTTTTTTTTAATAATTTAGTGAAGAAGTAGAAGAAAGTGAAGATGAAGGGGAAGATCCTGCTCTTGACAGTCTTAGTCAGGCAATAGCTTTCCAGGTATTAAACAGTTCTTTTAATAATGCCATAGTTGCTTTGGGTTAGTCGTCTTCTATTTCTTGCTTATTACTTTATTGATCATCTCATGTTAATCTTGGTCTCTCCTGTTTACCTCTTTAGGAGACAGGCTGTTTCTCTAAGGTCTTTAGAGCAGTGTAATAGAAAAATCCCATTGTCTCTTTCTAAGTTTAAGAGCCCTACAACATTTTTAATATGTTAAATTGATTTCATTATGGAATTGAACAGAAATATTTGATTAAAGTGAATTTAGCCAAACAGAGATCTTATTGAATCAAAAGATATGTTCTAACTGAAACTTCACTTTAAAACAAAGCCAAAATCCTATTTTTGGCCATTAAAGATCCTAATACAAGTATATGAAAGATTTTTGAAAAAGGCCATGTAATCTCCTAATTTTCTATAAAGTTAATGTTTCTGGTCGATAAAGTACAAATACATACATTAACTTCCTTTTCCTTTTATTTAACTAACGTATTTTATATAACATTCCCACTTCCAACATAAATGGCAAGTTGGCATCATTTCTTGTACCTGTTAATTAGTAGATGTTGCCTAGCTAGAGTAATGTTGAGTAACAGTGAAACTGGGACACAACTTGGGGGGGTGGTGGTGAGGGATTAAGAGGAGTGTCCTGATGAAGTAGAAAATTGTCTGTATGGGCTGGAGGGGGATGTATTGGCATTTATGGTGTGTTTTTGCCATGTTTTGAATCAACGCACTGTAAATAATATTAAACAGATTCCTGGTTTTGTTTGTTTTCTGAATCATATTACAGCAAGCCAAAATTGAAGAAGAACAAAAAAAATGGAAACCCAGTTCAGGGGGTCCCTCAACATCAGATGATTCAAGACGCCCAAGGATAAAGAAAAGCACATATTTCAGTGATGAGGAAGAACTGAGTGATTAAAATTATATTTAATATGTAAATATCATTAAACATTTTTTTTTTTAAACCTTAGAGTTCGAAGTTCAGTTGGGACTAAAGACTAATTTTAGAATTTGAGCATAAAGAACACTTAGTACCAAATAATTTTTTTACTATAAAGTAGGTTCATAGGAAATTGAAAATAATTTAAAAGTATCATGTTTCTATCTTGCCTGAGCAGAGTAATAAAGATCAAGATTTGCTAGTAACCGTTAATCTTAAAACCAGTTCACTTGAATTAAAAAGAAATCTTAATACTATGATAGCATTGCTGTTGTCATCCCAAGATAAAAGATATTAAAAAGATATGTTTGAGAAGCTCATTATAAAAGTTTATTCGTGTCTGATTGGTTTACATGAAGACATTTGAAATAAATTTCATCTTTAGGACAAAAACTTCATGAAGACTGAAAAATGCTAACTGATTTATTGTTGTTAAATGTTAATAAAATTTTCAAGAGAATTTTGTTTTTAAATGTGGGTGTTTTGCCATCTTATTTCTTTTAGCTTTATCGCAACCTGGATACATCATAATTACCCATGAAATATAAAGTAAAGTAGCTTTCAAAGGCTTATAACCAAACATCGATCATTCGTCTGGTGCAACTTTGGCACCAAGTTCCAGTCACCAGAAGTTAGTAACGTTTTTAGCTGTTTCTTTTCATATGTACATATATATTGCTATAGGAAAAACATCTATTTCTGCCACTTAATTCATAAAGGGGAAGTGGGAGATTTTTCACTCTCCTACCCCCTACCCTCCTCCATCTTCTCAATATGGCTATGTTAAAATTTTTGGTTAAATCCATATTTATTGTTTTTCTTTTATGACCATGTAAATACTGCCTACCTCTGAGTCAATGAATGTGCTGAGATTGCATTTTTGTAGAGTTAAGAATTGCCTCATTTTTTCCTTTATTATATTTCTACTTATGATTTTCTATATCTTCTGCAGATGGTTATATGGGAATGGGATTATAGAGCCTTTAATTTTCTACTTTGTATATTTCTATGTTGTTTGAATGTTTTTTAATTACTAAAAGCAATAAAAATATTTCCCCTTTGAAAACTACAAAGGCAGTGAGTTCAGTGAGGAAACCAGATTAAACAATTGAATGCTGGACTCTACTTTTTGTTCTACTCATTAATTCATCAAATTTTAAAAGAAAGAAAAAATAGGGGGTAAGTTCACAACAAAATATAGGTTAAGTTTATTATGAATACCTTAAAACAACAGAAAGTGGGCTAGTGACATAAACAATATGTAGAAAATAAAAACTAAATGGAAATATTCTTTAATATTACTAAAGAATCTGTCACAACTAGCAAAACATTTTTTACCTACTTATAAAAAAACAGTGGTGATGAAGAGGACAATACCTGTAGTAGTGTAAACTGGCTAATTGCTGAAGGGTAGCTTAACAATAAGTATTAAATATGTTCCATTGTTTAAACCAGATTTTATACTCTATTTTATCTAAGGGTTCTAGTCAAATACAGGTGTTTCTTTTTTTTTTAATAAATTTATTTTTTATTGGTGTTCAATTTACCAACATACAGAATAACACCCAGTGCTCATCCAGTCAAGTGCACCCGCCCCCAGTGCTCGTCACCCATTCACCCCCACCCCCCCACCCTCCTCCCCTTCCACCACCCCTAGTTCGTTTCCCAGAGTTAGGAGTCTTTATGTTCTGTGTCCCTTTCTGATATTTCCCACACATTTCTTCTCCCTTCCCTTATATTCCCTTTCACTATTTTTTATATTCCCCGAATGAATGAGAACATATAATGTTTGTCCTTCTCCGATTGACTTACTTCACTCAGCATAATACCCTCCAGTTCCATCCACGTTGAAGCAAATGGTGGGTATTTGTCGTTTCTAATGGCTGAGTAATATTCCATTGTATACATAAACCACATCTTCTTTATCCATTCATCTTTCGATGGACACCGAGGCTCCTTCCACAGTTTGGCTATTGTGGACATGGCTGCTAGAAACATCGGGGTGCAGGTGTCCCGGCGTTTCATTGCATCTGAATCTTTGGGGTAAATCCCCAACAGTGCAATTGCTGGGTCGTAGGGCAGGTCTATTTTTAACTCTTTGAGGAACCTCCACACAGTTTTCCAGAGTGGCTGCACCAGTTCACATTCCCACCAACAGTGCAAGAGGGTTCCCTTTTCTCCGCATCCTCTCCAACATTTGTGGTTTCCTGCCTTGTTAATTTTCCCCATTCTCATTGGTGTGAGGTGGTATCTCATTGTGGTTTTGGTTTGTATTTCCCTGATGGCAAGTGATGCAGAGCATTTTCTCATGTGCATGTTGGCCATGTCTATGTCTTCCTCTGTGAGATTTCTCTTCATGTCTTTTGCCCATTTCATGATTGGATTGTTTGTCTCTTTGGTGTTGAGTTTAATAAGTTCTTTATAGATCTTGGAAACTAGCCCTTTATCTGATATGTTATTTGCAAATATCTTCTCCCATTCTGTAGGTTGTCTTTTAGTTTTGTTGACTGTATCCTTTGCTGTGCAAAAGCTTCTTATCTTGATGAAGTCCCAATAGTTCATTTTTGCTTTTGTTTCTTTTGCTTTCGTGGATGTATCTTGCAAGAAGTTACTGTGGCCAAGTTCAAAAAGGGTATTGCCTGTGTTCTCCTCTAGGATTTTGATGGAATCTTGTCTCACATTTAGATCTTTCATCCATTTTGAGTTTATCTTTGTGTATGGTGCAAGAGAGTGGTCTAGTTTCATTCTTCTGCATGTGGATGTCCAATTTTCCCAGCACCATTTATTGAAGAGACTGTCTTTCTTCCAAAGGATAGTCTTTCCTCCTTTATCGAATATTAGTTGACCATAAAGTTCAGGGTCCAGTTCTGGGTTCTCTATTCTGTTCCATTGATCTATGTGTCTGTATTTGTGCCAGTACCACACTGTCTTGATGACCACAGCTTTGTAGTACAACCTGAAATCTGGCATTGTGATGCCCCCAGATATGGTTTTCTTTTTTAAAATTCCCCTGGCTATTTGGGGTCTTTTCTGATTCCACACAAATCTTAAAATAATTTGTTCTAAGTCTGTTCCATTGATCTATGTGTCTGTATTTGTGCCAGTACCACACTGTCTTGATGACCACAGCTTTGTAGTACAACCTGAAATCTGGCATTGTGATGCCCCCAGATATGGTTTTCTTTTTTAAAATTCCCCTGGCTATTCGGGGTCTTTTCTGATTCCACACAAATCTTAAAATAATTTGTTCTAAGTCTCTGAAGAAAGTCCAGGGTATTTTGATAGGGATTGCATTAAACATGTAAATTGCCCTGGGTAACATTGACATTTTCACAATATTAATTCTGCCAATCCATGAGCATGGAATATTTTTCCATCTCTTTGTGTCTTCCTCAATTTCTTTCAGAAGTGTTCTATAGTTTTTAGGGTATAGATCCTTTACCTCTTTGGTTAGGTTTATTCCTAGGTATCTTATGCTTTTGGGTGCAGTTGTAAATGGGATTGACTCCTTAATTTCTCTTTCTTCAGTCTCATTGTTAGTGTATAGAAATGCCACTGATTTCTGGGCATTGATTTTGTATCCTGCCACGCTACCAAATTGCTGTATGAGTTCTAGCAATCTTGGGGTGGAGGCTTTTGGGTTTTCTATGTAGAGTATCATGTCATCGGCGAAGAGGGAGAGTTTGACTTCTTTGCCAATTTGAATGCCTTTAATGTCTTTTTGTTGTCTGATTGCTGAGGCTAGGACTTCCAGTACTATGTTGAATAGCAGTGGTGAGAGTGGACATCCCTGTCTTGTTCCTGATCTTAGGGGAAAGGCTCCCAGTGCTTCCCCATTGAGAATGATATTTGCTGTGGGCTTTTCGTAGATGGCTTTTAAGATGTCGAGGAAAGTTCCCTCTATCTCTACACTCTGAAGAGTTTTGATCAGGAATGGATGCTGTATTTTGTCAAATGCTTTCTCTGCATCTAATGAGAGGATCATATGGTTCTTGGTTTTTCTCTTGCTGATATGATGAATCACATTGATTGTTTTACGAGTGTTGAACCAGCCTTGTGTCCCGGGGATAAATCCTACTTGGTCATGGTGAATAATTTTCTTAATGTATTGTTGGATCCTATTGGCTAGTATCTTGTTGAGAATTTTTGCATCCATGTTCATCAGGGATATTGGTCTGTAATTCTCCTTTTTGGTGGGGTCTTTGTCTGGTTTTGGAATAAAGGTGATGCGGGCCTCATAGAACGAATTTGGAAGTACTCCATCTCTTTCTATCTTTCCAAACAGCTTTAGTAGAATAGGTAAGATTTCTTCTTTAAACGTTTGATAGAATTCCCCTGGGAAGCCATCTGGCCCTGGACTTTTGTGTCTTGGGAGGTTTTTGATGACTGCTTCAATTTCCTCCCTGGTTATTGGTCTATTCAGGTTTTCTATTTCTTCCTGTTCCAGTTTTGGTAGTTTGTGGCTTTCCAGGAATGCATCCATTTCTTCTAGATTGCCTAATTTATTGGCATATAACTGTTCATAATATGTTTTTAAAATCGTTTGTATTTCCTTGGTGTTGGTAGTGATCTCTCCTTTCTCATTCATGATTTTATTAATTTGAGTCTTCTCTCTCCTTTTTAATAAGGCTGGCTAATGGTTTATCTGTCTTATTAATTCTTTCAAAGAACCAACTCCTGGTTTTGTTAATCTGTTCCACAGTTCTTCTGGTCTCGATTTTGTTGAGTTCTGCTTGAATCTTTATTAACTCTCTTCTTCTGCTGTCTGTAGGGTCTATTTGCTGTTTTTTTCTCTAGCTCCTTTATGTGTAAGGTTAGCTTTTGTATTTGAGTTCTTTCCAGTTTTTGAATGGATGCTTGTATTGCGATGTATTTCCCCTTAGGACTGCTTTTGCTGCATCCCAAAGATTTTGAACGGTTGTATCTTCATTCTCATTAGTTTCCATGAATCTTTTTAACTCTTCCTTAATTTCCTGGTTGACCCTTTCATCTTTTAGCAGGATGGTCCTTAACCTCCACGTGTTTGAGGTCCTTCCAAACTTCTTGTTGTGATTTAGTTCTAATTTCAAGGCATTATGGTCTGAGAATATGCAGGGGACAATCCCAATCTTTTGCTATCGGTTCAGACCCAATTTGTGACCCAGTATTTGGTCTGTTCTGGAGAAAGTTCCATGTGCACTTGAGAAGAATGTGTATTCAGTTGAGTTTGGATGTAAAGTTCTGTAGATATCTGTGAAATCCATCTGGTCCAGTGTATCATTTAAAGCTCTCGTTTCTTTGGAGATGTTGTGCTTAGAAGACCTATCGAGGGTAGAAAGAGCTAGATTGAAGTCACCACGTATAAGCGTATTATCATCTAAGTATTTCTTCACTTTGGTTATTAATTGATATATTTGGCAGCTCCCACATTCGGGGCATATATATTGAGGATTGTTAAGTCCTCTTGTTGGATAGATCCTTTAAGTATGATATA